TAAAATAAAATAAATAAATAAATAAATAAAAACTTTTCCTAGTCTTCCTAAGAATGTTCTTCTTCTCCTCCTTGTTCCTTCTTCTACATCTTCTTCTTCTCGTCCTTCATCCTTCTTATACATCTTCTTTTTCTCCTTTCTCCCTTTCCTTCTTCTTCCAATAAATTATGAGCACACAACTAAATTTTAAAAAAATAATAAAATATATAGTTTAGGAAATTAAATTTTATTTACTTATTTGTAGTTAAAATTGAGTGAATAATATTTCGTTGAGCTTGTATTGTCTGTCTATCCTTAATAATTTGGATTGGTTTGATTGGAAGAATTGAAAGACACTATTATTGGGTTTTGTTTGAGCTTAAAAAAAATTGTCAAAGAAAACAAAGAAGGTATATTGATTTTTTGAGATTTAAGTTCAATTTAACCATTGAAATTGTTGAAATTGGTATTAGAATGTTGAATATCAAATTTGGAGTCAGTTGACGTTGATTTGTGTCAATTTTAAAGCAAAATATGATGATAAACTTTTACACAATGATTATGGTAGCCGCCAGAATTTTATGCACAATTATGATGATTTGCCATGATTTTTGCACATTAATTATGGCGACCGTCAGAATTTCATGATCAATTGCACAAAATTATAGTAATTGTCAGAATTTTGTAGCCGATTGACCAAAAAATACGGCAACTATATATACTTTGTGCGATCTCCATAACTTGTAAATTTCTAACAACAATTAGAATTTTATGGCTAGTTGCAAAAAAAAAAAAGGTATGGTAACCGTCGGAATGACGATCACCATAACTTGCTATGAAGAAAAATATTGCCCAAATCAATAGGAAAATCATGGCAATCGCTAGGAGCTTGCTTCAAAATTCTGGCGCACGACTATTTTTCCTAAATCCTTCTTAACTGGGGTTAAAATTTAAACGGTGATACTATTTGTGTCATTGAGTGCACGAGCTACCATGGTCTTCCAGTGCACGAGGTGCTCGGTCTAAGGCTCAAGATACAAGAAATGCATATTTATCGACCAATTTGGAATAAGACATCCTAAGCATTAGTCATAACTCACAAATCATGAGAGTTCACCTTCAACCATCACTCATACCTGAAAACTTTAGACAAAGGATCAATTTGTTTATTGAAAAGCTACGTACATTCTGACATTTAATTCTGGCTAATTATTTGCAGAATGATGCGTTTACATCAAGGTGTGTGTGGACTCACACGAGAATGATAAAATCATTAAGATGTAGTAATGTGTTTACAGTACAAGTTGGAAGTGATTGAAAATGATCAAGTAAGCTCAAAAGATTGAAAATGTGAAGTGGAACCAAATTGGAGTCCTCGGTGCCTCTTGGATTGGCCTTGTGTCATCCAGTTGCAACCAGGATTTTGTGCAAGCGGATTAAATCTTAGAAGTACATAACTTTAGTTATAAAATAATAGTTGTCAAGTGGGTTCAAATAAAATATTTATACAAAATTTACGTAGCTTTAATCTTAATTTATACATATACACAATATTATTTTTTGGTGAAGCGGATTCAGTTGAACCCATTTGCCACTACGTGTGTCCGCCACTGGTGTCATCAGAGAGGCTACCTGGGCAATGGAGTGAACAATTCTGACTTACAGTATATTCCCACTTTTCGTGAGCTAAGGTCAGAGAGGGAAGAACTCAAGGGCTTACGTCGTAAGCTATAGCGCAACGGGGAAATTTTGTTGAGTATCAGAAAACTCATAGTGAGAAGGCAGATTATACAAGTATAGCTTCGTCAGAGTGAGCTCGCGTTGCGAGAAGGGAAATTTAGCAGGCTTGGTATGCCTCACGATAGAGCTTTGTGTCACGAATGCACAAGCTCGTGTCAAAATATTCATACATTTTTGTATTTGTACACGCTTATGTCAAAATGTTTTCAAAAATGTAAAAAAAAAAGAAAAAAAGAAGAAGAAGAGTTTATTCGTTTATATGGAGAAATTGACCCAAACGACTTTAGGGATTAGGAAAGGTCCAAGTTAGGGGTGGCAGATATTAATGTGGTTCAGTTAGCGCAACAACTCTTCTTTGAATGTTTAGTACGCTTCAGATCAAATGTCGTCATTATTACTCCATTTGTTCGCCTCTCGCTGTCTAAAACTTCTGTCCATTTCGCTTTTAGACCAAGAAATCATTTGGCATTTATCCCCTGTTACATTTGTCCCTAAACTTTGGTGCAACTCTCCTAAAATTCACTGACGTGGAAATAATTAAGACAAAAAACCAATATGTTTTCGTCCTAAATATTTTATTTATATGTTAACTTTCTTTTATTTACTTATTTTTTAAAAAGGACCTCTTTATATATTTACTACAGTAATATTCTTAATTTCAACATTTTTTAGTTACACCAACATTCGCTAATAAAAATGACATGAAATGTTTAATATGTTTGTTTACCCGAAAAACGGATAGAGTTGAATTTGTACGTAGTTCTAAAGATATGTGGTATATCTTAATACAAATCATAAGTTTAAATAGAAATATCAAATATGGATTGCAAAGAATGCAAAATAGACAAGGTCGGAAAGAAGATGATTTCTAAAAATAAGCAAGATGAATCAATTAATGAAGCTTTTAAGAATAACTTTCGATTATAGGAGAATATGGTGTTTGAATTACGATGTAAGCAAAAAAGGTGTCCTTCACATAAATGTAATCATCCTCTTTATAGTGGAGGATCTTATTTTAGATATAATTAAAAACACATAGTGGAGAATCCATGATAAATCAGTTTTTCCCTAATATCCGCCGAGATTCTCTCCCTTAGTGTGTTTGCAACGGCTCTTATTTGTGAGTTCGAGCTCGATCGGCCTCGGTGCTGGTCGGTAGTGCTTCTAGAGCTTGATATGGACTCGGGATCAGGTGATGATTCGGACTCGGTCCCGGTTGGCCTCTGCCCCTTAAGCTCGAAATCATCCCATCATAGTTCGATTCGAACCCGATCTTGATGATGACTTCGAACTCGGTGTTTGACCTATACCTGGAATCCGAAGCTTGTTTGTACCATCTTCGGAAACTATCTCGAAGTCTTTCTTCGATCCATTATGTTTCGACCTCGATCAATCGTACGAAGGCCGAAATCTATTTCAATCGTATACATATAGTCCCCTCGTTTCTCAGGAAGGATGTGGTGAGAAACGATATGATTTCTCAATGGCTCGATCGGATTATAAGCTGACGTTTACATTGGGCTCGATCATGACGCACGTGATAGATATCTCGTCGATTTAGTCTTTCAAGGCATGTAATGCATGTCAGACGGTGGTCATCCACCGCTGACACTGAACTGCCATTGCTTTAATCTATAAATAGCCCTTCCTCTTACCATTTACTATTTTTACATCTACAATCTTTCAAATTTTCCAAGTTCTTTTTCGTATTCTCTGAGTTTATTCGCAAATTTGTGATTCCTCTTTGCAAAAGCCCTTCTTTAAAATTACCAAATCTTTGTTACTTTCTTCTATTCTCGGCCTTTAAATTCGAAAATGGCGAAAACATCACAAACTATTCCTCAGAAAGAGAAAGCTTCATCTTTACAGTATGCCGCCAACGAAACACCGGTAGAGCCACGCCCTGAGGAGTGCGTTCCTGGGGCGAGTGTTCTTACCTCTAATTTTAAGGTCGATAAAGGCTCATCGGTTCCCGGCCGATGTGAGCCAGTATCGAGGTACATGTGTTCGATAACCGAGAGGCACCTCAAACAGCTACAGAAAGCTTGCAATTGGGAGAACAAAGAAATAATAATCCCTTCTTCTAACGAAGATATCACCACTTATGTGAAAGGGTTTTTAAGTGTGTATATTTACCCTTTCACGTTAGGTCCCCTCGACTCTATTATTATTGACTTCTGCCGACAACACCAAATAACTTTAGGCCATGTCCATCCTTCTTTTTGGCGGATTATTATTTTGATTCGATACTTTGTGAACAAAATCGAGGGGATGTCGTTCACCCTCGACCATCTCATCTGATTGTACCGTCCTTGCCTTTTTTGAGAAGGGTTAATAAAACTTTAGCATCGGGATACCAAGGCTCTGTTCTCGAGCATCGACGAGGACATGGATCGAGGCTGGATGGGCAGGTTCGTTCGAGTAAGGACTTCAGACTTGATTCCGACTGAAAATATGCCTTTTCCCGAGGAGTGGAATATGAAACGTAAGTGTAATTTTGTTGTTACTTCCTTCTATTTTTCCCTTTTATTTATTTTCTCACCGATATTCCTCTTTTTGTGATGCATCGGTTCCCTAGATTCCCAGAGCAAGTCCCGATCTCAAGAACTGGGTACGAGCTCTGGCTTCGACCTCTACATACGCCGAGCGCTCATGGCGTGATTTGTCAAAGGGCCGATGGGAGGCCAAAAATCATGGTAAGCCCCTTTCTCGTTCCTTTTGGTAGTTCGAACGAGATGCTTTTCATATACTTTAATGAAATTTTCCATATGTAGGTGTGGGTAAAGATGCGGTTTTGAGACCCTCGTCCGTCGAGGAAGAAGCTTCGACCTCTGTCCCAAAGCCGATGAAAGATAATAAGAGGAAAAGAGTCTCTGCTCCCGAAGATCCAAAACCAAAGAAGAGGACGGCTCGTAAGTCAAACAAGAATACCATTCCTTTGACCGTAGAATCAGTTCTGCATCTAAGGGATAAAGAAGAAGAAGAAAATAATGGGTCCGCGCTGGCGGTCCGAACGAAGAAAACCACCGACGTTCCATATGCAGCTGGATCGATGGTGGTTCATAAGGCTCCGCCTCGAACTGGGGATATATAGGAGAAAGATTCGGGCAGAGTCCCCGAGTTATTGGAGATCGAAGATGCTTCCCATCGAAGCCAACATTTGGGGGATATGTCTGAAGGGGCTCTCCTCAAATCTCTCTGAACCGAAGGGAATGCTCCAAGTGATTCACTTGGGGCAGTAGCAATTGAAGACTCACCCACCTTCCCTACTTTGTCTGCAGGGGCGATTAGGGAAGCCCAAGCTTTGGGGGCCCTCGAATTAGACAAGCCTCATGATGGAGAAGATTCTTTTCGTGACTTGTTTACCGGTATCGAGGACGTTGCCGGTACTAGTGATGCATCAGATCTTTTTCACGGGGTGCAGCAGGCATTGAATCAGGTAAGCCTTAAATTATTTTGTTAGTATTACCTTTATGTTTGCTTTTTTTTTTTCTAACTTCGTTTCTTCTTTCTTTGCAGGCCGTGACTGTCACACCTCCTTTTTTCAGGGGGAATGGTGCCAAAGGAGTTTTTTCAATTTAAGTGACATTAATCGAAATGAGATTATTTATTAAATTCAGAGTCGCCACTTGGGATAAAATCTGGTGTCCCAAGTCACCAGTTTATTTTAAATCCCAAATCGAGGAAATTTGACTCTGTTTTATAGTCCGCGAACACAAAAGACCGGGTAAGGAATTCTGTTAACACGAGAGAAGGTGTGAGGCACTCTCGAATTTTGTAATTTTAGCACGGTCGCTTTAATCATACCTGGCTTGATTAAATTGTTTAATTACTCATTTTAGAACCTATGTACATTTACCTTTTTACCGCTTTTAATTGCTTGATTATTTGTAATTATAGAATTATTTTAAAACAAATCACGCGTACGTGTATTCGTTTTGTTTGGTGTGTCATGAATCATGTCACGCGTACGTGTACACAATTAATAGCACTTTATTATTTTTAAGATTATTTTGTCAAAGTTGCGTGAACGCTTATTTTGCCTTTAATTTGGGAAATCGTAACTATGTCACGCGAATGTATACATATTCACGATAATTTATTGGTTAACGCGCGCCTAAAGAATACTAGCGCATTCAGAGTATTCCATTTATTTTTTAAATATTTTTTATCATTATTTTTTGTTTACTTATTTCTACGAGTCTTAAATTAGTTCTTGACTCATCTCGCTGCCTTACAAATATTTTATTCTTACCATGCTAATTATTTTACTTCTTGCAATAATCATATATATCAAACAAGCTATAATATTTGAACAAACATATATCCCAAATCATTAAGCTGTCATAAAGCAAAAAAAATGATATGAAGCTATCAAACATGATATGAAATCATTCGTTTACCAAAGCACACGTCAGTATAAACAGATTCCATATTCACATGTTGATATTGTGAAAAATATAGAACTTTTATCTTACGTTCTAATAAGAAAATAAATATTTATCGAAAAAAAAACATAAAAATAATATGTGACTAAAACGTATAGCTTGCACTAAAGAATACAATAAGTTTGTCAAAATCGGATATAAAATTCTTTGATTCAATAATTTAATTCATTAAATCTATTTGACAGTAAGTACATTGCCAATACAAACTAATTCCAAAACTCAGAGACCATGACTTGAATTTTATATCTAGAAGAGTAAAATAAATGTATTGAATACCGTGACCAAGCATACTAGATTTACCAACGGATTCTTTAAAAAGATTGCCAACTTACTAAACTTTTTTGATAAAGTCCTTTGATTAATACATTGACTTGTCGAAACAATTTGATCAATTTATTAAAATTAATTAATATTATCAATCCCAAATTAGATTTACTAATTCATAACAAAATCGAGCTTTATAAACTATATAGACTTAACTAATTGAGAATAACATGTTAACTCTCATTATATCTTGCCTCCAAATTCATGAATTAGTATAAAAGTATTTTTAACATATTAAATATTATATACAAAAAGGAATAACAAACTTTAGCCACTTTTCTGTATCTTACCAAAGAAAAAGAAAAGATAGCAAACAAAATAGTTCTAACAAAAACTTACAAACGAATTAAAGGAAATTTCCAGACTTTAAGAAGACATATAAATCATATTTAAAATATATAGAGGAGATTGAGTGTTACCTTTTGTAATATTTTACAACAAAGAAAATATTTACCATATGCTGATTTGAACCCGCGAACTTAAAACCACGATGCATACTTCGATTTTCGACTCCGAACCTAATAAGTCCACCAAACAGTTTATCTCAAAGTAATTTTCACTCTAAAAGAACCATGCTAGTTTTTCTTAGTTGCTGAATATTTTCTCTATCTGATTGCCTTTGTTTTAAATCAGATTTTCCTCACCTCTTTCTTTTTTCTCTCAATCTCGTTCTCCTCTCCTGTTCAAAATTTTCTCTCTTTCAAAAAAACTGGACTCCTCCTTTCTATTCAAAGTTTTGTGTCTTCCTTTAAAATATTCCCCCCTCCCCTCTTTTATATGTCCGTTCCCTCCTCTTTGTGTGAAGTGAGGNATATATATATATATATTTGTGAATTTTCTTATCTCTTTTTAAAAAAAAATAGAAATAAAACTTATACTCTAAGAATGTGAGTATTTGCTTTGTATATATATCTTTTATTTTTATATTTACTAAGAGTAAGGTAACAATTTTTAAATATTAAGATTAGACCTCAAAAAAATATTTACACTAAAATAGAATAGAATTTGGGTGTGGTTAAAAATTAGTTGTTCACAGCATGCCCCTCTTTACTTGGAAACATGAAGAGTTTTCATGCAAAGAAAATGAACAAGGTGACTGATTTTTGACCTCACTATTATTTAAAAAGGAAAAGAAGAGAAAAGAAGGGGTTGTGACCGAGCATTGGTTTTAGGCAGCCTACATATCCCAGGTTATAGGGGAATCAGGTCACATGTAGTTCAAGTGAAAGAAGAGTGACGGAGTATGCTCAAAGGGAGAGTCGAGTGAAGTTCCGTCAAGGTTCCGATCCGTGGTTCCTACTATTACATCAAAATAAAAAGAAAATTACAAACTCTTGAAAATCTAAGAGTTACAAAATTCTTATCTAAAAGTCATCTAGAGTCTAGTCTTGATTCTTGAGTTGCTTCTCCCATTGACTTTAGACTGAAACTTGATCCTCTCGATGCAACAGACTATGAAATATTCTCACAGCTTGTTCCTTGATCAGATGATAAGAGGATGGATCTTGATACTCTATGTCTCCGCATGCATTATGTCAAAGCTTGTTGCGGCTGGTATTGAGATCAAACGTTCCACTTTCTCTGGCAAGAGATGTAATCTTATTTTTGCACATCCAATCCGTGCTTTTTAAAAAAACCTACAAGTCATCACAAACAAACAAAACGTACAAAAATTTTCTGCCCCAGTTCGCACTAGAAAATTTTTGTGAGTTATTGAAAATACATAAAACTATCTTTGCTATTGCACAATAAAGGATTGAAAAAGACACTAGTTTCTTCCATTTTTTTTTTTTGAATAATATGGGATGTCGTACCCTATGTTAACATGAAGGAAGGCAACCAGGGGATGTAGTAACATGTGTTAACAATAAGATGAAACTCGTGGCACTCTAGGATGCTACTAGGGAATGTCGTACCCTATGTTGGCAATAAAATGAGGCTGGGGGCACTCTGAAATGCTACTAGAGAATGTCATACGCTATGTTGGCAATAAAAATGTAACCAGGGGATGTAGTACCCTGTGTTTGGCAATAAGATGAGGCTCGTGGCTCTCTAAGATGTTACTAGGGAATGTCGTACCCTATGTTGGCACTAAGAAATGCAACTAGGATAAGGCTCGTGGCGCTCTGAGATGCTACTAGGGAATGTCGTACCCTATGTTTGCAATAATAAATGCAACCAGGGGCTGTAGTACCCTGTGTTGGCAATAAGATGAGGTTCGAGGCACTCTAGGGTGCTACTATGGAATGCCGTACCCTATGTTTGCAACAAAAAATATAACCAGGGGATGTAGTACCCTGTGTTGGCAATAAGGTGAGGGTCTTGGCACTCTGGGATGCTACTAGGGAATGTCGTACCCTATGTTTGCAATAAGAAATGCAACCAGGGAATGTAGTACCATGTGTTGGCAATAAGGTGAGGCTCTAGGCACTCATAGGACACTGCTAGGGAATGTCGTACCCTATGTAGGCAGAAAAATGAGGCTCGTGGCACTCTGAGATGCTACTAAGGAATGTCGTACCCTATGTTGGCAATAAAATACAACCAGGGGATGTAGTACCCTGTATTGAAGATAGAAAAACTAAAAATAACATGTTTACATGTATATTGGAACAAAAATCAAGGAGTTGAGAACTTCACTTGGTGGTGTTCGTCTTTTCACGAACTGTTTCCTAAAATTGTTCTGTTCCTGTTCGGAACAAAGAAATATTCGTTAGTTTTAAAATGGAGGTCGGTTTGTAGCCTTGATTATTTCGATATCTTGATCTCGGCTCATCTTCTTTAATGATTTCAATTGTAACTGATTATTTCTTGAATACCAACTGTATTTCTGACCCTGGAGAACCCTTGGCTTGTCCAAACTTTGCCATGACGGTTGGTCACGTGGGACTTTATCCTTTTCAACATTATTTTACCTTTGTGGGAATTTCACTTTTGACTTCTTTCAAAGTTTTCCTTTTCAAAGCATCGGCCAACCATGGCTAGTCGGGGAACTTTTGGCTTTTGAAACTTTGCCAATGACTGTTAGTCACGTGTGGCTTAAGNATCGTGTGGCTTAACTTTTTCAGCTTTATTTCGCCTTTGTTGGCGCTTCAATTTTATTTTCTTCTTCCAAAGTTTTCAATTTCAAAGCATCGGCCAATCATGGCCAGTCGGGGTCGACCTGATGCCCTTACTGAGGCTTGGTACCTTTTGAATATATCAGCTCACTTCAAATGAGAACCTTGTAAATCGGCCTTGCCGTCTTTTCTTTGCCTTATTTTCTAAACAAATTTAGACCGAAAGGGATTCAAATAAAAACAAACAATAGAATAGACAATGAGTTTAAAACAAGAGGTGTCCCTTTCGGGGAACAGAAAGATGGACTTATCTGGGAGTACATGCAGACTTCAATGAACATGACATGCTTTTTGGACTGGATGTCTGATCTATGTAAACTGTCCGACTCTTTGAAACTCATCACAACTTTTGACTCAAAATCGAGAAATCTTGCTCAGGACCGTATTGATGTCATGGATGTGTGGATCCTCTTTTCGATTAACAGTGCTCTTTGCGGGTTTTCACTAGCAGACCTCTCTCATTTCTCTTCTCGCCATCGTCTTATAGTGCTCTTTGAGGGTTTTCACTAACAAGACTCCCTCATTTTATTTTCTCTACTCACTATGGC